TATTATGGTTTATAATGGCAAATGATACTTTGAATATTACATGTTAATAACTTGATTGGAATTATAACCTTGAATTGACAGTTTGATACTTTGAAAATTTTGAGCCAGCCCTACCCCCAAGGGCTGTAGGGTGGGGCTCAAAGGAGTCAGTGTGCTAAAATTTCTTCATTTTCCTTGTTAAGAATCAGAGGTGCTAGTTTCAAATCCTTTTTAGGCCATTATAAATTATTTGCTAGATTCTCATCCCCGCCCGCCCCCTCTTTGAGGCCCCGCCCAATTTTTTTTTATTTGCGAAAAAACCCCCGAAAATACGAAATACGGATTTTTTTTCCGTTTTCCGCTTCAAAAATTAGTTTTATATTATCAATTTCCGGTTGTAGAAAACTCGTCGTCTGCAATATGGTTTTTGTAATTCTAAAGCTGAAACGGCAACTTGTCGTTCTGAAAGATTGGTATGGGTGTTTAGTAGCCGATACTAAAACATTAATGCAAGTCTTTCATGAATTAGCCGAAGGAACAATTGACAAATCTGCGTCCGTCGAGTGTGGTAACAGGGCCGTTGTGTCGGCCGGTAAATCGAAAGTGGAAATGACCCAGTGTGATGGCGCATGTACGGTGGGGGAAGTGGTGTTGTACCTNCTTTTTAGTCTGAAATCTGTATGCTAGATATTGAGTAAGGTGGTTTTATTGTTTTTTGTCACTTTGAATAATATTTCTGTTCATGTTAAAAACAAAATCAACTCTCTGTATAAATATATCAGGTGACCGTTAAGGCCCATGGGCCTCTTGTTTCCACATGTTTTTAAACTTTGAGTAGTGATTCACAGCTCAGTGTTCATGCACATGTGCCATCGACTAAAGGGTTTAACAAGTTCCTAATTTTAAGGTCAAGGTTTCTGTTACCAATGTAGCATAGGGTGGGATACACTGTCAAAAATATATTGCATGGCTTATTCTGACTTTAATGGTATTTGTTGCCCCCTTCTTTAGTTCTTATTCATACTTGGTAGTAACTGATTCAAGTAGAATTACAATTTACATGTGCAATACCTTCCACGCAGTTCTCTTTGAATTCTGCTCAGAGATTATTGGTGATATTGATGTAGTCAGGCATTTGGCGAGACCTTACTCACCTGTCAGTGTTCTACTTACTAAGTAAGCTGATGATGAAAATAACTTGTCTGTTAGAATTGTTCTTCCCTTTGTATCAAAATTGGTTAATATTGTAAATGCTTTATAAATTGATATTAACTGAAGTTAATTTCTTGTGTACAGGGATGACAAGAGATGATTTATTTAACACCAATGCTAGTATTGTCCTCAATCTAGCAAAAGCATGTGCAAGAGTGTGTCCAAATGCCATCCTTGGTATCATCACAAATCCGGTAAGATCTGTTCACAGTATTTCTATTTAAAATTATCTTTCTTGTTCAGTTCAATGTTTTAATTGTACCATCATTTCTTCCTTATATATGCCCTGGGGGCCATACAGATTTTTACATCTGGAAATGGTGACTGAAGTGTTCTATCTGTAATTTTTCTAGTTATCAAAAGCTTTTGGCTGTTTTTCACATTTGGGAAAGATATTTGGTTCAAAATGTCTAAATACCGTAAATTTGCAGGTATAGTGCGCACTCGGGTACAGTGCGCAGGTACGTTTTTGGGGTCAAATTTGAATGGGAAAATTGAAAATAAAAAATGATTTTTTTGGGGGAAAAAAACCTAAAAAAAACGGTATAAAACAGGAAAAGTAGCATCAAAGGTAGTTTGGTGTTTATAACGCCGATTAATTAACGATTGATTGATTGATTGGAGTCAACAAGTCCGTGAAGGTCTCCCTCCATACCGCTTGGAACGAGTGGATGATGGACGAATCCTACAGAAACCAAACGAAGAAAGTGTAGCTAATTCTGATGCCAGAGAATCGTCGATCAACTTATGTTTCGACATATCGGCGGTTTTCTCATCATTACAAAAATGTAATGTTTTAATTACAGGCTCTGTTGGTATGTTTTTGCATATATATATATAAAGGGAAGGTGGGGTGTTTTGTGATGGTAAAGAAATATTGTATTTTACTATATTTCAGGTGAACTCTACAGTCCCGATCGCTGCAGAGGTCTACAAAAAGATGGGTGTGAAAGGTTGGGAAAAGCGACTGTTTGGGGTGACAACATTAGACGCAGTGAGAGCTAATACCTTCATTGCTGCAGCTAGAGTAAGGAATACAGCACTGAAAGATACAATACATGTGTAATTGGTACCAATGATCAATTTGTATGAGGTTTGAATATTTTGATGTTTGAAGAATCAGTTTTACTTATTCACTCATTTTGCAAAAAAGGTAACAGTTAGTTCAGGGTGACCAAAATTAATTTTAAGTCATGGAAAACCTTGGTGATTACCCAAATGAATCTTGAAATGAAGAAACTTGAGATATTTTAGATAAAGCACTGAAATCTTATTGGGAGAATACCTGATAATAAGGTACCTTATGTATTCTATTTAATAATGTTATCTAGAATTCTACTGATTTGACACAAACATCTGTGAGGTTCCATTTGATAAACATGTAAGCGAGAGTGTACTGTTGTGACATATTGACCAATAGACATGTTCAGTGATCTATTAATAGAATCTGGGTTAACCAAACTTCTGTGTGTCCAATGTGTGCAGTATATACAGAGACAAAAATTCTGACTTAAGGAAGTTAATCTTACATAGGTAATATAAATGTCCTTTTATGAATATTTGTCCATTTTTCTTCCCAGGGAGTTGATGTTAGTAAGATGGGCGTGCCGGTTATTGGAGGTCACAGTGGTGTGACCATTATACCAGTCATATCACAGGCCACACCTACAGTATCCTTCCCTATGGTGAGTTTCCAATACCAATTCCCTGTTTTCCTTGTTAGGACAGTGATCAATCTACAATTTATTTTGATGAGTCCCTTTCAACTGTATCGCTAAAAAGAATGAGTCCCACAATGTTAAATTTAATTATTTCCCGAAATTCTTTGAGTCCATGACGCGGGACTCGCATTTAGATTTATCACTGTTAGGTTCATATCTTGCCTTATACTATTCAGGGAAAATCCTGGAATTTGATAGCAGTGGGCCATTTTCATCAAATTTTAGTCAATATCCAAGTTAATAGAGGCCATTCTATGTAAAACTGAAAGAAAATTGGAACACAGAGGGGGCAGTTTCAGTTTTGAGGGGCCAATGGCCCCATGGCCCCCTCCAGGATTATCCCTGCTATTACAAACCATGTTATCCTTTTCTTTCATCTGTTTGAAGTCACAAAAGGTAAATAATTATGAATTCACAAAAGGTAAAAAATGATGTATAAAATGAACAGGGGTATTTAGTGTTCGCTTCATCTATGCATGCACTTGTCTGTCTGTGCTGACCGTCGGTATATCTCGGCACCGTTTTATGAATTGGCATCAGACTTTGTTCATATGTACGTCATCATGGGAAGATAGTGTCATCTCTTAAACCAGGTCACTGTGATCTCAATTTGACTTTTGACCTTGACCACTAAGGGGATTTTGTGAAGCCTGCACTTTGAGTGAAATCTAGTTTCATAAGTATAATGAAAGTTATTAGTAAGTATATGTTTTTCATATAGAATTTACTCTCTGAAATGGTATTGAATTAATAATTGCAGTTTGAATTAAGTGAATTTAAATGATGGACTTTTCTTTGTGTAATACATATTGCAGGAGGAACGCAAGGCATTGACCGAAAGGATACAGAATGCTGGTACTGAAGTGGTTGAAGCCAAAGCTGGAGCAGTGAGTTGTCTCCCCCTCATATCAATGTGATAATGTGCTTAAATATGTATGATAAAACTGAAAATCACACAAGTTTGTTTTAACATAATTGGTCATTATAATCATAACCAGTAGTGGTTATACCAACAACCACAACCCCTTCATTTTTCCCATTTTTCTTTGCTTCAAGAGTGATAGCGTCAATCTATTGTGAATCAGGAAAGTGAAACAAACACTTAATCTGGGACAACAGGGGGGGTGGAGACCCAACATCCCTGCAAGGGAAAGCAGAGCAAATGAATACTTAGGATGTAAATCAAACATTACATTTTGTACCGGATTCAGAGGTGTTGTTGCTCATCATTTCTACTTTCACTTAATCAGGTAGATAGATTTGGTGTAAAAATATTATTCTCGTTGCAGTCCAGCATGACTTGACAGGAAATTAAATACATGTATAACAAATGTTTATAGTTAAGGTAAACATGTACATTTATAAAGTATACATTGTAGATATGGAAATAATTCATTATATAGTGTTAAATTTGAAAATTGAATTACAATTTTTCCTGCAGGGATCAGCCACTCTGTCAATGGCCTTTGCGGCCGCCAGGTTTGCAGATAAGCTTCTCGAAGCTTTGGCCGGTGGAATAGAACAGGTGGAGTGTGCTTACGTAAAGTCTGACCAGACTGATGCCACCTATTTTGCTAATCCTATTCTACTTGGGGTGAGAATCTTTGCAGTCTTAATCAATTCATATGGCAACTACAGAAACATCTCAATTTCCAAAATATTGCCAGCTGATTACATATATATTTGTTCATTAATGACATTGATCAAATATGAACATATAAATGATGGTCTCTTTGTAAATGTGGACATGTGCAATTGCTCTCAAACTACTTATATATCAAAAGCTGAAATAAATCAGGTTTTGCTTCTAGAATCCTTAGGCCATGGGGATGAAACCTTAAACCAAATAGAGGGCTTATCCTCCTGGGGGATAAGAGGAAGCGTCAAAAGGGGTTAGATGGGCTGATTTGTTTTAAATGGCATCTCCTCCAAAACTACTTTACAGATACCAACCAGATTGTAATGGTAAAATGCTTTAGTCCATTTAGATCACATTTAATTTAGATCACATTTAGATCAAAAGTTATAGCAAGAGGCCCAGAGGGCCTGTATCGCTCACCTGAATATGTTTAAAATAATTGGTATGAAGTAAAAGTATAGCACTCCATGGTAGGTGCTGTAAGTACATATAAAATTTCAGAAAGATCCATCCAGTACTTGAGATATAGCGAGAACAAACTTCAAACAGAGACCCACCCCTATGCCCCTAGGGGGGGTCATACCCACCAATTATAAAAAAATTGAGACCCCTTGGCCCAAGGATGCTCCAGACTAAATAAGGATAAAATCCCTTAATCTCGGTGGTCGAAGAATGATTTTAAAGGTTTTACCTCTTTTTCTCCTATTGGGCCCCGCCCTTCTGCCCCCTGGGAGACCACACCCACTGCTTATATAAAATTGAGCCCCCTTGGCCCAAGGATGCTCCAGACTAAATTAGGATAAAATCCCTTAATCCCTATGGTAGAAGAAAGATTTTAAAGGTTTTACCTCTATTTCCCCTATTGGCCCCCACCTCTCTGCCTCCAGAGGGGTTAGACAGACCATTTATACAAAATTGGTTCCCCTTCACCCAAGGATGCTTCATACCAAATTTGGACAAAATCCTGTCATTCGTACAGAAGAAGGTATTTGAAGAATTTGCTATGTTTCCCCTATTGGGCCCCTCCCTTCTGGTCCCAGGAGGGCCACACTCGCTGTTTATACGAAATTGAGTCCCTTTTGCCAAAGGATGCTCAAGACTAAATGAGGATATAATCCCTTAATCCCTATGGTAGAAGGATTATAAAGGTTTTACTTCTATTTCTCCTATTGGGTCCCAGGGGGTCACACCCACTGTTTATCCAAAATTGGTTCCTCTTTACCCAAGGATGCTCCACACCAAATATGGACCAAATCCTTTCATTCCTACAGAAGAAGAAGGATTTTAAAGAATAATTTTCTATGTTTCCCCTATTGGGCCCCGCCCCTTAGGCCCCTAGTGGGCCACACCCACGGTTTATACAAAATTGAGTCCCCATGGCCCAAGGATGCCCCAGACTAAATACGGTAGAAGAAGGATTTTAAAGGTTTTACCTCTATTTCCCCATTGGGCCCTACCCCTCTGCCCCCAGGGGGGGCAACACCCACCATTTATACAAAATTGAGTCTCCTTGGCCTAAGGATGCTCCAGACCAAATTTAGTCAAAATCTGCCTGTCCGTTCAGGACAAGTAGCGTTTTAAAGGAAAAGTTGACGGACGACAGACGCTTCGGTATGGCATAAGCTCACCATGGTCCTTCGGACCAGGTGAGCTAAAAATCAAGGGGCTGTGATCCTGACCACCCTAATACTGAGTGAAGGCAGTACAAAAGGTCAAAATGACCGATCTGCTTTACATGACATCTCCCAAACTACAGGACAGACTTCAACCTTGAATTGGAAGAGTTAAAATGTGTATTCAGGGACGATCGATTTAAATGACATCTCTCTGTCTGGGCAGGTTTCAAAGTAATCAGGAGAGCAATTCAAGGCTTCATGGCCTCTTGTCTGTTATTTTTTACAATGAAACAAGTTTAACATCGATTGAATTATGCTTTCTCATTGTGTATTTTCAGAAAAACGGTGTTGAAAAAAACTTGGGAGTTGGTCAAATGATTGAATATGAAGTTGGACTCGTCTCTGCGGCTATGGATGAGCTCAAGAGCAACATTAAAAAGGGAGAGGACTTTGTAGCCAAAAACTGGTCTTAAGTCTTCAACACTGACAATGTAAACAAATTGTTTGAAGGGCAGACTGCAACTTTATCTACGACAGAGGTGCAACGACACTAACAACAGTGCTATAAATACAGTGGTGCAAAAACAGTGCTACAATTCTACTAAGTACTCTATCCATATGATATTCTTATTCAAATGGACCACATGCATACTCATGGGTTAAGTATTTATTCAAAGTCAAAGACTTAAAAGATATCGTTTAAATTTGAAATATTTCAGATATTTTGTTGCATGGCATAACAGCAGTGACAGGAACTTATACCCCATAAGCAAATGGATCACATGGATATAGTTTCAATAACAGTTTAGACTTAAACATGCTATAGGCATTGATTTATTCCTTGATCCAATATGTCACTTCCATTTATTTTGTACTTCCTTATGCGAGTGTCGGTGGAATAGGCTAGTTTCCCTTGTGTTTTGGTTGTTTTCCGACATTGTTTTGGAACTTGTTGGCTACCATTTGTTAGACAGTGTGCTGCTAGGAATAGAGAACAGCAGCAAATGTTGAGAGTACCTGTTCTAGGATTTGTAAAGTTATATTTACCGTCATGTGATTAAAATAAAGCGTCTTTCCATACAGCAATATGATTTGTAGCTTTATTTTTCTATCCGTAAAAAAATCACATGTTATTATAGCTGCACTGTTTTAAGTGTTTAACATATATATACTAAGTCTGTTCCAGGGACATACTTATAATTAATAATGTATAACTTGATGGAGTCAAAAATAGTTGTTGGAGTATAGTGGCTTGAAGAAACAAGGCCCATGGGCCTTAACGGTCACCCGAGTTCTGATATATTTATACAGAGAGTTGATTTTTGTTTTTAAAACATGAACAGAAGTATTATTCAAAGTGAAAAAAAACAATAAAACAACCTTATTAGCTCACCTGGTCCGAAGGACCAAGGTGAGCTTATGCCATACTGTGGCGTCCGTCGTCCAACCGTCTGTCCAAAATTTCTTTAAACGACTTCTTCTTCTTAACAACTGATTGGAATTCAACTAAATTTGACTGGAAGCATCCCTAGGTGGTGGAGATTCAAAATTGTACAAATGATGGGGCTGAGGGGCGGGGCCAAAAGGAGTCAATTTGGCTATATTGCTTTAAGCGACTTCTTCTCTGGAACTCAGAAGTGGATATCAACCATATTTGACTGGAAGCATCCCTAGGTGGTCGGGATTCAAAATTGTACAAATGATGGGGCTGAGGGGCGGGGCAAAAAGGGGTCATTTTGGCTATATTGCTACAAACGACTTCTTCTGTAGAACTATGTCATGGATAACAACCATATTTGACTGGAAGCATCCCTAGGTGGTGGTGATTCAAAATTGTACAAATGGTTGGGCTGACCCCCCAGGGGGCTGAGGGGCGGGGCCAAAAGGAGTCAATTTGGCTATATTGCTTTAAGCAACTTCTTCTCTGGAAATAAGAAGTCGATGTCAACCATATTTAATTGGAAGCATCCCTAGGTGTCAGGGATTCAAAATTGTATAAATGATGGAGCTGAACCCCCAGGGGGCTGAGGGGCGGGGCCAAAAGGGGTCAATTTGGCTATATTGCTTTAAGCGACTTCTTCTCTGGAACTAAGAAGTGGATATCAACCGTATTTGACTGGAAGCACCCCTAGGTGGTGGGGATTCAAAATTGTACAAATGATGGGGCTGAGGGGCGGGGCAAAACGGGGTCAATTTGGCTATATTGCTACAAACAACTTCTTCTGTAGAACTATGCCATGGATATGAACCATATTTGACTGGAAGCATCCCTAGGTGGTGGGGATTCAAAATTGTACAAATGATGGGGCTGACCCCCCAGGGGGCTGAGGGGCGGGGCAAAAAGGGGTCAATTTGGCTATATTGCTACAAACGACTTCTTCTGTAGAACTATGCCATGGATATCAACCATATTTGACTGGAAGCATCCCTAGGTGGTGGAAATTCAAAATTGTACAAATGGTTGGGCTGACCCCCC